GTCTGTAGTGGTTTCAAACAGTATCTGCTGTCTGGGGATGAAGAAATGGACTTGTGATCTCTTGTACACGCATGCACTGCTGGGGATCATTCTCCCACAGCAGCACTCATGATTTACCTGAAGTCACTAATTTCTTTTTTATATTTGTACTTTAATAAATCAAATTATGATGTGATTTCATATCAATACCTTATGGAAGCCTAAGTATAAAATGCTGATACCTGGCTGATCTCTGTCAGCAAAACGAGGATCCCATTTTAACAAATAATTAATTTTTTGAGATTCATGTTAATGAAGCGGTATTTCAGCTATTCCATTATCATTAGAGTTACACCCAAGTTACAGTAGTTATCTCTTTCATCCTCATCGTTCTTGTGGTGTTGACCCAATGATAGTTTTCTCCTAGGCTTTTAGAACCGCTGCAGTACTTTGTTTTATTCAAAAGCAGCATTAGCTATCCAGCTCTTTTAAAACTTCCAGACATAGCTTACCTGGATAGACATAACTTAAAACAACTGCTTGTAATACTTCCTCCTTAACATAGTTCTTAACTACTATAGGAACATAAAGTATTTCATGATCGCCCTGCTTCACAAATTTTGTGTGGTGGTTGCTTAAATATAAGTAGAAATATTTATTCAATAATTTGCCTGTTTCAGATGACTATTAGTAACTTGTTCTTTTATTAATTGAATATGTTTTTAGGATTCAAGTTGTTCATGAAGTGCTTAAATCTCTAAAACCTTTCTATAAACTCTTTTTTTAATATTCATTTTGTGCCTTCTGTGTGTGTTTCTGTGGACATATTTGTAACTACATTCACTTCCCTTCTAACCTGGCCATGTATGTCTTCTTTTTTCTCCCCCCTCCCTTTTTTTTTTTTTTTTTTTTAACCACAACTCTTTTTCATCTTTGGATTATGGCTCTTAAGTGTTTTGTAAAATGTTCCCTGTTATTTTTTTTTAAGATTTTTTTTGAATAATTTCTTTCTGAGAAGACTAACTTCAGGTTTATGAAATTGATTTGTTCCAAGTACTTTGCATTTTATTGGTTTTTTTGTGTTTTGTTTTTTGTTAGCTCATGACACACACAAGTATGTTGTCACCTAAACTACTTTTGAGATCTATGATAAATTTCTTTGTAACTGTCAGGTTGGTTGTAAGAGTTCCTCAAGCACTGTTTTTTGGTTTAAAAATTGTCTCCAATTTTTGCAATTTAGTAATTTGGAAATATCACTGTAGTGTAATGTTAAAACTATATTAAAAAGAAGGGGTGCTTTTGCATACCCTTTCAGAATCATTATTTCTGTAGTTACCTATTCTTCAGTTTATGCTGCTGCTCCCTAAATCTGCTTTGTCTGGATTTGTTTCACACGTGCCCATGTTAGAGGAAAACTTTGTTATGGACTGCTTGCATCAACTGAACACATATAGGTTGGTGGGACCAGACAGGAAATAACTTAGTGTATTGAGGAAGCTGGCTGATGTTGTTGCAAGGCTGCTTTCTGTCATCCTTTCAAAGGTTATGAACAATTGGGTGGGGTCTTTAATGACTGGAAAGACAAATACTGCAGAAATTTTCAGAAAATGCAGAAGGATCTGTGGGACCATTGGCCTATCAGCTGCACCTCAATCCCTGGGTAGATTATGCAGCAAGTCCTTATGGAAGCCATTTCCAGGCACATGGAGAACAAGCAGTGACTGGGAACAGCTATTGTGTGTTTATCAAGGGCAAATTGTATTTTACTACCCTGATAGCTTTTTTGTCTTGAAATGACTAGCTCTGTGAACAAGGAGAGGGTAATGGATTTTGTTACTGTGACTTTAGTAAGCCTTTCAGCACAGTCTCCCATGGTATCCTTACAGTCAGATTGGAGAGATGTGGTTTGGATAGGTAGGTTACAAGGTGGGTGAAAAGCTAACTGGACCTTTGGCTCAACAGGTCAATAGTAAAAAGTCTAAGCGGCAACCAGGTGCAAGTAGTGCTCTTTGCAGGCTTATGCTGTTTAACATCTTTATTAGCGACTTAGATGATGGGACAGAACGTGCCTTCCCTGTGTTTGTGGATGATACCAGGCTGGGGGCAAAGCTGCTGTTCAGAGGGACCTCGACGAGCTGGAGGAATGGGCCAACCGAGGCCTCAGGAAACTCTGCACGGGGGATGGAGCAGCCCTGTGCAATGGTGTAGTCTGGGAAGTGCCTGTGTGCCTAGGGAGCAGCTCTGCAGAAAAGGAGCTGGGGGATGCGATAGACAGCGAACTGAACATGTCAGCAGTAGTGCAGGCTTCGCTGCTTGCTGGCTTCCATAAGCAAGAGCATAGCCAGTAGCTTGGGAGACACGGTTATTCCCTTCTGTTGGGTGCTTCTGAAGCCACATGTGGTTCAGTCTCCAGTTCTGGGCCCCTGGTAAAAAAAAAAAACAGAATATTGATGAACTGAAGGGAAAGCCGCTAAGATTATTAGGGGGCTGCAGTATATGACATGGGAGAAGAGACTGAGAGAAACAGGTTTATTCAGCTTGGAGGAAAAAAAGGTTAAGGGGAGTGAAATCTAATTGCAGTCTTCCACTGTCTAAAGGAGGCTGTAGTGAGATGGAACTAGACTCTTCTCAGAGGTGCACAGCGAAAGAACAAGAGGTCACATGCTGCAGCAGAGGAAATTCCGATTAGATGTTAAAAAAACAAACAAAAAACCCCATGAGTTTGGTTATGCATTGGAACAGGTTGCCTATACAGGTTGTGGAACCTCTTGTTGTTGATTTTCAAAACTCAAATGGATATAGCACCCTGAGCAACCTGCTCTGATTTAGAATTCAGCTCTGCTGTGAGCAGGATGTTGGACTCAGTGAGCTCCAGAGGTTCCTTACAACCTAAACTTGTTCTTTGATACTGAAATCAGAAAATGCTTCTCTACCTCCCCCCACCCACATGAATGTGCTTTAAAATTGGTCTTAGCCAAACAGCTACCTCTGGTTTCATTGTTCCTTCACAGGGATTTGCAGGAATAGAAAATAGCTTTCAAAACTTGGACTGCTGCACATAAAACGCACGGAACTTAGTTAAAGGTTTCTTTCAATTACAACTAAAATTAATTAGCAGAGAGATTATCATTCTGCTGTTTCTGAAGCATCTGTGAGCAAGTGAAGAGGAACAGGGCATTCTGAATCACAGCTATTGATGTGGGCAAACTTCTGCAATTGGAAATAAAGAACTAGAATAAAATGAGATGATACAGCTTTCAGAAGCTTCTTCCATAGTTCACTACTGATACATCTATGCAAACTTGTGAGCTGGCAGTCACATGACTTCTCACAGAGAAGGGGGAAACTCTTGACGACTGGAGCGTGATCCTCTTGTAGCATCTTCCAGGCAATTATTGGCTAGAACGGTCCTGAAGATTGATTGCTTACTCATTACTACCTCGATGTATGTATGTGTGTGTGTTGCTGCAGAAGAACAGCAGCTATAGAGCTTTTATATCAACATTAGCTACCTTGCTTGTTCTGCGTGAGGAGGGGCTGTCGACAACTTAGAATTAGGTGGTGTTCACAGATTTAGGAGTGTGGTACTGCAGTTGTTGGCTTTGTATCTTAAGGTTTTGCAGGTACTGTTTTTATTTGACAACAAAAGCTTAAAATTCAGCTAGGTCATTTGGTAGCCATACGCCACAGAATCATTTGTGAATGTGCACAGGGGAAGAGAGGAAATAAAGGTAATGCTAGTTTGTTCCTTTTTCATGGTTAAGAGGACATTTCCATGATGCAACAAAGTCAATCCTTTATTCTTTCTGAGGGCGGTGGAAATTGGAGCCAACCCAAAGTCAGTCAACTCCTCCTCACCCTCCAAATTTCTCACTTTGACTAGGAATTAATCTAGCTGATGTGAGCAGGCAACAATTTGGGGACTGTCAGTTCAATGTAGTTAGAAATGACAACGCTCTAACCCCTACTGCTAGGAGTGTAAGGCAAAAAATGTAGACCTAACTGGAAGAGACTGTAGCCTGGAATAACCCTGAACACAGTATTTTAAGACTTTTGGTGTGTATGCTATGAATTCAAGTAACTTGAAATACAGGGGGAAAATACCTCCTAGGAGTCTTTAAAATTTTACTTATTTCATATTTATCAAAGAATTGACAGGCAGATTTTTTTCTGGCGAGTAACTGGAGAAAGATCCAATGTCATAAGCTCGTACTGCCTTTCTACTTGCTCTCTTTAATTAGGGTATAACTTTTGCCAGTGATTCAGCTTCTAGTACAGTGGGTCCACTAGCATTACTCCCGTTGGAAATTGCACGGGTTTGTTTTAATACTTAGTACTATGTGTTGGGTATAAAGGAAAATGCTAAATATATTTCTTCCTTAGAAATTATGTCACTGTTAGTTAAGGATGTTGTCCAAGAACATCTCTTTCTATAAAGTGATTACGAGCTGACTGCTTTTATGGAAATGCATATACTACTGCTATTATATAACTCTCAAAACTGTCAGCAACTGATTATTTTCACAAAGACGAAATAAGATGAAGAAGAATTGCCTTGTGGTTAGGATTCATAAATGATATGCTTCAGAGGGCATCTAGAAACGTGGTATATCCTTTATTGGTGATATCTGGTGACTTGTTTTATGCAGGAGGTCAAACTAAATAATTCAAGTGAGCTTTTTTTTTTCTGGACTTAAGTCTTTGTGAGTACAATCTAATAGCAAGCAATTGGACTTGTTAAGGAGTAGTGTGGGACCGGACAAGCCATTCTTTCCACGTTGCTCTAATTATATGCATAGCAGTGGGGAAAAAACATTGTGAAGAGGGAAAGCAGAGAAACCTTGAAGTGCTTTATGGAAGGAGCTATTGCCTTGTGTGGTAGGCAAAGGTGTAGGTTCGTGGACAGCCTGCATTTGTGTAGTTGTCCCTTTCTTGTTACTGAGCAAAATCTCTGCGCTATATGGCAGTGCTGTACTCGCGCGTCACTGAACAACTGTTCTTTTCTCCTCTTCTTTTTACAGGGTGGATCACTTATACACATTTTTTGTTCAGTGGTCACCAGAAATATATGGGAAAGATGCTAAAGAGCAAGGTTTTGTTGTAGTAGAAAAGGAGGAGCTTGATATGATAGACAACTTCTTCAGTGAGCCAACTACTAAAAGCTGGGAGGTGAGTGCTTTTTGTCATATATGGAGCATGTTGTATCAAGCGTGCATCCTTTGTTAAGAATCTGAGTGCTTGCTCTTCTGATGTTTTCTATGGCGTTTATAACACTTGCTGCCTTATATAGAAGTGTTCTCAAGGCTTGTAGCTGTCTGACAGCTGTACTCATTTACCTGTAGTATTCCTTTCTTCCCTCCCTAAAAAGGGCAGGCAAACAACTGGGAACTTTCTGGTCTGCAACCAGCACAAGTTATGTAAATAAGTAATAATTACGTAATAAGTTATGTGGTGATTGCCTTTTGGAAAACTATACAGGTGCATGTGGTCAGTGTTGCTAAATTCATATCATATCTATGCTACTAGTAAAATTTAGTACATGTATATGTACCCATAAACACCAACACAGATTCCTGTGTGCTGGTTGAAATGGGTCAGTATGTGGTATCGTGCCAGGCCCTTACTTCTCAGATGCATATAGCACTACTTTTAAAATATGGGTTGTTAAGATGGATATTTTATATCATACATTACCTCAGCATTTTGGGACTTTTGCAGTCTGTTTCAACTACTTGTGTGTCTGTGTTTCTCTCTCTCTCTCTCTCTCTCTCTCTCTCTCATACATATAAAGCCTTGTTCCTAAGGAAAATAACCCAAGCCTCTGTGCATGTGATTTATTTTATTTTATTTCTCAGTTCTTAAGTACTTGCTGTGCAGAAGATGCATAGGCAAATTAAAAATAAATCCTCAAATGGAAAATAGCTTGATGGTGTGATTTTAAAACTGATCTGATTATTTGTCTTAAACACATACTTGTTTTCAAAATTCTGCTGTCCCTGTTTTAAGCCTTTCTGTCTTTGAAATATGTTGTCCTGCTCAGAAGCTGAAAGTGAGGCTCGTCCTTGGAAATGTAGCAACATCATCTCTGATCCTAAATAGCTTTTATTTTACAGTTTAGCAGTTTCTTCCTGTTGGTGCTATATGAACTGCAGAACAAAAAAATGCCTTCATTCCTCATTTTGTGCAGAGCTGACTGCAGTCATATATGACGCTAGATTTCACTATTCAGTTGTTATTTGCATGCTATTTTCTTAAACTTAAGATGAGGGAGGAGGGACAGTGATCCAAAGAACAGAGGTGAGAGAGATCCAGCTATACAGGGAACTTGTCTTTCATTGTTTTATTTAAATTTGTATTGGGAGAAGAAATAGCTGGAAATGTTTGTAAAGGCGTGTCTCCTTTATATTTTACATTCAGGCTTTACAGATTTGAAGTAGGTCTGCCAGGAAATCTCTGTCGAAAGGCCAAATTTGGGCATGATTATTGTGAAAGTTTCACTCTCTCTTCTGCGGAAACAGAAAGTGTAATAGTAGGGATGCATATAAGCAATTTTATCAAAGCAAGCTGCAGACAGTTGCAGTCTTGCTTGTGGGCAAGAAGTGTAGTAGATACTGCAGAAAAAACTGGTAGACAATGAAGGGGCAACAAATGCCTGTAAATATTCGAATTCTTTACTATGCCAGACGTGACCAGGAACCTTGTGTGCAGGTATGTTGGACTGTGTCCCTATTTGAACAGCATATATCTGATAGAGCACTTCTTAGTAAAAAAGGAATTCTGCACTTAATTTTATTTATAATAGAATATTTCTGCCCCAGGTAGCCTGCTGCTTCATTCCTGTAGACGAAAGTGCTTAAAAATCTTTACAAGACTTTGTAGCTCTGGTTTCTGTCATAGCTCATTCTTTTCATTTGTTTTTGCTTTTGTGTGTGTAGATATTTTTACCTTGCAGATCCTTTTGCTGCAGTTGTTGAATCCGAAGTTGGTTCAAACGTGTTTCAGTTCTGATGAAAAGAGCTGTGTTTATAAAGTTTAGACTGAACAGACACTCATGCAGGGAAGAAAATTAGATGAACTTCTCTTTTAAGTGATGAATACGGACTTGTTTACATTTGGAATTGATTTACAATTTGTGACTCTTTTCAGTAGATTTTCTGTAGTTGTCTACTATGTTTGTAAACATGGTTATATTTTGCTTCAGGTACCTGTAGGCTGGTTGATTTACTATGCTTGCTTTTTTTTTTTTTTTTTTTTTTTTGCCCCTTTCCTCCTGGGGAGCCTAGAGAATAGCCTTTAAAAGGAGAGTAGGCACTTCTGATTCAAGATGAAAAAGATGTTCATTCAATTAAAAAACTTAAATGAATGATCTGAGAGAGGAGGGGGGAAGGGGAAATCACTCAGGCGTGGAAAAATAATAACGACAAAAGCAGAAAACCCACGTTCCTGTAACTTTTTTTAATGGCCTTAATTTTGTGGTGTAAACCTTTCCTGAAATTGGCAATACGAACATTTTTCCAACACAGGATTCCCTCCCGTCTCCAAAGACCCTTGACTAGATCCCATTGAGCCTGGGCTAGATTCTGCTGGAAGGATAGGATGCAGCTGTGCAGCTGGTACTGTATCAGCAGCAGTAATACTTGTACTGCCTGGGTTCACTGGGGCACATAATATTAATTCTGCAGTTTGGATTTTGCCTTGTGGTCCTGTCGACTTTTCTTAACCTCCGCTGTATGCGTTTGAGCGCTAGTGCCTAGCTCCCTGCTCGGGGCTGCTGCCTCAGGCACTGCTCTAAGTTTCTGCAGACGAACATGGGCTGGACATGCGCAACTGCAGTGTATGTGTTGCTCTGCTCCCTCTAGAGATGCTAGGTGTGACCGACATTATTAGGGCTTTATTCTGTGCATAGTGACCTCCTCATAACTCCTGGTCTTTATGAAAAGCTCTTTTTGTGCTTTGTGGTGGCTAAGTCCACAGCTGGCATCTGTCCAGTAACTTGGCTTTCTAGTTTGTGGAGCAGGTGTGTGTAGGACTTCCAGGCACTCCTTGGCGGTTGCCTGGACTGTTGACAGCTTCAGCAAGTTTGAGCAGCAATTATGAAGGTGCAGATGGGTTATACAAAGCTTTTTCCGTGTATACTGTGAAAACGTTTTAAAGCTGTATCTGTAGGAATGGATGTGGAAGTAGTCAGTGCAGAGTGCTTTGCAACCACATTCTGAAGTTCCTGTTCCTAGATAAGACCCTTGTGGTAATAGGCTCATGGAAGGAAGGTGGTTTAACGTTTCCCAGTTGTTCTGTAGCTAGGCTTCTTTGTTTCCCCTTTTCTTTGTCATCAAGCCCATCTCTGAGCTCTTGCTGTTGCTTCCTGTTTGCCCTGGTGGCATAGAGCCCAAGGTAAAACCCTGCTGCTGTAGGCTATGCCTCATCTCTAATGTTGGGGTACCATAGTACGGAGACTTGCGTCACTCATTAAGAACCAATAGTTGAACTGAAGGATTAGCAGCTTTCCAAGTGTCCTCTTTGCCAACTTAGCAATCGAGCATACCAGCAGCGACTCAGTGACAGCTAGCACGTTACCTGTTAAAAATTCAGGTTGCTGCCAATGAGTAGCAAGAGGGCATCTTGCCCCTCTGCAGGGCAGCTGACTCCAGCTTTCACTGAGCTCTGAATGCTGTGGGTACTGGCCACTTGGGAGCTCCTATCTCAAGGGACATGACAGGAGATGTTTTGGCTCCTGTTTCCTGCCCTTAACTGTATGAGGTTCAGAACTTGTCTGCTGATTTTGTTACCAGCTTGTAGGCTGCTGACCCCTTCTGTAGACAAGTGTTAAATGTATGGACTTGCGTTCTCATGGTTTTTAGCTTTGTTGGAAAAGGTAGCGTGTCTACCTGTAGCTGCTGGACAGAATTCTCTACTTTGTTTTACAATTGTTTAAATTCAAACCTAAATTAGAAATATTTATATGGACTCACCTTTTAAAATACTGTAATGTACTCTGCTTTATAAAATCTTAAAGTCTCCCAAGAGCTGTTTAATCGTTTTCAGCTGAGAACATATTCTATAAAGACCTTTACTTTTCTCAGAATGAGTACTTTAAAGAACTTACTGACGTGAACTGCATGCTCAAAATCTTCCTCAGTAGCTTTTGTACATGATAAAACTTCCAAATACTTGCTCAAATTGATTTACTTTTTTTAGTTCTTTGGTATATTGCTTCTATTTCAGTTTGTATATACAAAAACATGTCTGTGTTGGTAAAGAAAATCAGCAAAAAGCTGCTATCTTTAATAGAAAGAGGAAGTGAAATTTTCAAGTTGTTCATATTCTTATGCATTAGCAGCTGAGAATTATTAATATACTCAACTAACTGCGTGAAAGGAAATGAGAAAGCTTTTGTGTCCTTCCTATATGAACTACTACAAGATATCTGTTTAAGACGTGTAGCGTGCCTTCAAAGGTGTACTTGAGCCTTATAACTCAGGGCAAGTATGTCTGAGACCAGTCACCTCATGTTGCCTGGCTACCTCAATATTTATTAATCCCAAAGGATGTTACAGCTGTCAGAAGCCATTAGGATGTAAAGAAATCCTGACCATACTGTCCATACTGTCTCAAAGACACCCTGCCATTTGAAAATTTAACCATATTCAGTTCAGGTTGCCTGTGCTTGCAATTTCCATTCCATACGGTATTTTTGTTTCATGCAGTATGATGGCTAATTGAGTACGTTGTTTTAAATTCACTTGCTTCAGTAGAGGATTGACAGAATGAGAGCTATGCTTTAGGCTGGACTCTTGTTCTCTTACCTCAGATCATTACTGTAGAAGAAGCAAAAAGACGAACGAGGGTTTGCAGTTACTATGAAGATGATGATGATGATACTTTACCTGTCCTAAAGCACCACAGTGCTCTCCTGGAGAATATGCACATAGAGCAGGTATGGCTAGAAAAACCTTAAGTTTCCTTATTAGCTCTTGCACTGTCTGAGCCGAGTGTGGCACAGTCTGCCTTCTGGAGGTGATACCAATGCTTTCTCATAGCTTGGGAAATGCTTAGTTTGTTGGAGTGTCTTTGTGCAAGGTCCTGTTTGCTCACTTGAAATACTTATTTCTATTTTTGCAACTCTGGAGAGTTTGAGTAATGATATTGAGAACTGTCATCCTTTTCAGTGCTGGCAGACGGGCTGCCAGTTTGAAAATCTCTTTCACACATCACGTGAATGCAGTTGATAGGGCTCAGAATACAAGGCCATGCGCAGATGGCAGAGGTGTTGAGCTGCGGGCATCAGCTGCTACCCTAACTGCTGTTTTTTGGCTCAGAAGCCACTGTGGAAAGGGAATAGTCTGTAGGTCACCACTTGCGGCCTGTTGAATGTATTTGCCCCTGTTTATCGCCTAGCTTGCCCGGCGTTTGCCAGCAAGAGTGCAAGGATATCCATGGCGGCTTGCATACAGCACACTGGAGCATGGAACTAGCCTGAAGACTCTGTACCGTAAATCAGCATCTCTTGACAGTCCAGTTCTCCTTGTTATCAAGGATATGGACAACCAGGTAAGCAGTGCTCGTTTTGTGGGGATTGGACTGAAAGGGCACCATTAAAAAACAGTGAGGGTTGTGAAGTGACAATCACACTGTGAAGTGACATCATACGATAATGCCAAAATAAGACGTTTGTATTTTCTTCTGTGCTCTCTTCTGCTTAACCTAAACTTACAGGCAGGAAAGTATATGAGAACTAACAGAATTAAAACTCGCAGTTTCATAATAGCAATGAATGCCCCTTTTAGTAGGGTCCATGAAAATATCTTCCCCATGTAAATCAGTGAAGCTGTTACAAATAATGCTTCTGTGGAGGCGTAGTACTCTAGTAGCTCCTGGAGTCCTCATTCCTATTCTCATGTGGCTTTTAAACTTGAAGGATACAAAAGATTTGCAGGAACACTTGCTAATGTGATATACTTCATTAGTTGGTTCTCTTAGTATGAAGCACCAGCACAGTTATTCTTCAGAAAGTATTTTGAAAGTGGTTTTTTTTTTCCTGTTCAATTTTGCACTGTCCTCAAAAATAGTTTAATCATTTTATTTTGACAGATATTTGGAGCGTACGCTACGCATCCATTCAGATTTAGTGACCATTACTATGGCACAGGTGAAACATTCCTCTACACATTCAGTCCAAATTTCAAGGTAAGTGGTGTGGCCTTTCTCAAATAAGATTTTGGGTTCAATTTCTGAAACGTTTATGAAGAAACAAAAATACAGAGAGTGCATATTTAAGTTCAGAACGCGTGTCAACTGTTGGTGAATGCAGATCATCATTATTCATTGCTTCAGTGCAATTTTTGCTTTAAGCAAAAATCGTTTTAATTATTTAGCATGCCGAGAAGGTAATGTGCAAGGGTGAGGAGAAGGTTTTAAGTTGATTGGAGGTGAAGGAAGCGGAGTAATGAACGAACTGCCAAAGATTAATCTTTGGTGGTGATTGATATCAGAAGTAAGGTACAATTTCACACATGCTTAGGATCACAGTGACGACAAAGCAGAGATAAGAGTGCCACTGAAATATCCCTTAATGTCAATAGCTTGTGAGCTTTTCATTATTGGATATATTGATCCTTTTGTTTTAACAGAAGAGCTATTGATTTGAAGATGCAAGTAAAATTTAAAAAAGGATTAGAAAGATTGTTCATAATTTTAGATTCGTATTATTTTCTATTACCTCTTCTCCTTCCCCCTTCAAGGAAAAAAAAAAAAAAAGACCACCAAAAATATCCCCCAAGGGGGTATTAGTTCTCACTAGTTTTAGATTACTAGAATCCTCACAATGTATATATGTGTGTGTGTGTATATATATGTATATGCACATATATACATACATGCACATTTTCCCCCCCTCAGGTATTTAAATGGAGTGGCGAGAACACCTACTTCATCAATGGAGACATGAGCTCTCTGGAACTCGGAGGTGGAGGGTGAGCAAGTGTTTGGTTTTGCAATCATGTGGCTGACCTCCCCCCCCTCA